TTAAGTTAATTTAAATAATTAAATGATGTAATTAAATAATAACTATTCTTTAAGTTTTTAAAGAGAACTTTAAAACCATATATTATCGGGTTGGAGTGGTCGGAAGTCACGTGACCCGACACCTCGTTTTTGCCATGGCTAGGGTACTAGAAATAATCAATCTCCTTAATTATCGATCGTCATGACGACACTGACGTCGATCATTTTTTCCCCTAACAACGTGTCGAGGTTACAAATCAGATGACAAAGGAACTCCTTTACTTCGCAAACGAACCCGCGAGAATTTTATCATCACCCCTACCTTGGTGCACTTCATGATATCATTCATCTTCGCATTAGAAGGAAAACAAGAACCCCTGTTTATTTTGCCAGATATCCAAGTGGGATTACTGTACATTGATACCTGCCAATGAATTAACATTTAACCAGACGTAATAATATTATCCAACTGATAAAAAATAAATGCTGGATTTTGATACATTTTTTCGTTGCAAAAAAATCTTGGTATTACATGATGTTAATATACATGCCGGCCTATACTAAAACCGCGGAACCGATGGTCTTGGAAAATTACCGAGAAAAAATTTTATCAACGCAATGAATGGTTCGGAACTTTGCTTGTGATAGGTGTGAAAATAAATACGAAAGATCGATTCTATACTATTACCTATTTATCTAGCTTTTTCTATGAGATTACTCAACAACATTACCCTTTTTATTTCCCTCGTTTCCCTATGGGAAACAGCTTCCATTGGCTTCTATGCCTCTTCTGCTTTGTCTTTCATATCCTAATCTTCGTACGCAACAAATAAGTGTTTCGATAACTTGAACAATAGTTTCCTTTCACTGTCTAACGTACATTCCATTTTTCATCATCTGACACGACTCCATACTTTATCTATATCGTACCTGTCACCCACTTCTTGTGCTTTGTGCTTACGGCCTAGTAATGATTCTGTATATATAGTGACTTGTGCGATCCTCGCTTAAAATCATCCTTTTTGACCTCAATCAAATCAATGATTCTCCCAGTCGTACAGATTCAATAAGTATACGAATAGATACTTTTTATGACTTCATAGGACACGTCGATGGGAGCTGTCTTCCAGTTCGTCAGAAAGTTTACGCAACACTACTTTAGACTTCCCTTACTTAGTATGAACACAACCACACGAAAAAACAGGGAATACGTTAATGCTTGGATTGGGTCATCACTGAGCCCATAGGAAAGGTCCTGGGGTTAAATGTTTTGATAGCGTCTCAATAAATGCGTGGCTAATGCGAAATTTGAGGGTCGCGTGTTTGACACACTTTATTTTGTTGGGCGTTAGGGTTACACCATCACGTGAATAAATATGCTATTACGCGTTCTAATGTCACGGATCTAGCGTATATAAGTGGTAGAATTTCGCGTTGCTTTCCTCCTATCCTTAAATATTAAAAAAGACCTACTTTTATTTTTATTACCACAAGAAGGTTTCTTTCCTAACCCTTTGTTGAATCAAATCTTCCCGTCATGAAAAAACCTTTTTTTCTGAACAAATATCTTCCCACCACGAGTAAGGTTTCTTTCTTAACCTTTTACCAAACCAAAATTTTGTCCGCCACGAGAATAGAAATCACATTCCTACCTTTTACCGAAAAAGTCTCCTAAATTCTTTCTCGAACCAAAATCTTTCCTACCGTGAGAAAAGTCTCTTGACCTATACCAAACCAAAATCTTTCTTCTCCACCGTGAGAAGTCTCTTTCCTAACCGATATCTCTCGCCACAGAAAAACAGATAAGTATTATTATTCATTACGTTATTTTTTTTGTCAGAGTCTGTGATGTGGGTAACAAGGTCCGCTGGTCCATATGAGGGATCCTTCCTTGCGCAACTGCCTCACGGGCGAGTGATAGAAGCTTGTACCATATTGTTCGTTGAACTCTAGAAATGGTAGTAGTTTATTTCGAGGTAAAAATGACCATTGAACTTATCAAAAAGTTACGTTAAGTTTCGGTGATACGGTACTTTGATTAACTATTACCTCTCTGAGTGACACGGGCTTTAGTGTATATCAAGTCTTCCTAATTTTTTTATAGCCACCGCGAAACTTTCTGTAATGTTGTTCTCTTTTATATCAGTATTTGATAATTTTGTGAATATTTGGCAGTACCTGCCGAATAACTAATTATTGGCACGTTTTTAGTACCTTTTGCTATATATATTTAAATTGTTCTTTAAAAAATTTATCTGAATGTTTTTTTTAGTCGTTTGAATTTATTCACAATGTATAATAGTACAGTAGTTACTTTGGAAATTTTCTTTTTAATTACGAATCCAAATAAACTTAATTATATGAATTTTTTGAACAAGACTTTTAAGAATGATTTCTGTTTTTAGTAAAGTAATAAATTTTAAACCTTTAGTTTAACATTCACTAGAAATTGTAAGAAATTCTAAGAATTACCAAATCCTTCAAGTACTATAGTATCACCCTATGAATCAACGACGTGGACGTTCCAAAATAAATTACCATGCTTTATTATATTTCTAACATATGCTACTTTCTATGTGAAAAAAAAACACGGAGAACGGTTTATAACGGGAAATTTTCTTCTAAATAAATTGACAGAATTTAATTATCGATAAAACTTTGTAGAAAATTTTTATAACCCGAATGACAATTTGAAAACTAATCTATCGAACCAATAATGCAAATCTTGACTAAGAATCAGCGCAGCTAGAAAATTAATGATCAAGGAAAGCATTAATACAAAGAAATTGTACACAAACATTGGGTCTTTAACAAGAAAATGATTGTTTTGGAAATTTTCGTTACAGTTAAAGGATGATGTTTTTTTAGGGTTAGAAAGTGGGTCTTTCTCTGTGTTCGTAGGGATCGAAAATAGTTGAAATGTTATGCACATAATAATAAATAGCTCGATAAAGATGTACAACCAATCGAACACCGTAAATTCGCTGGTGGTGAAAGGTTTAGATAAATCGCAAAAGGTTGTGAATTCGGGTTCAAAAGTTATGGATGATATCAGAGTAAAGAAGTACGCAACCTATTAATGAATACATAACAAGTTCGTGGTTAATTCTTGTGCATATATTTTGAGAATCCAATTAATTAATTAAAAATATTAATATTAATAACATACACTCCAAATTATTTCGCTAAACAATATTAGGATGCCAATCGCCACATCAAAAATTAGGCCTTGGTGTCTTTTGGTGCGTTGTAATTTCCGAACCGCAAAAATGGATAGAATAATCCGGTACATAACAACAGCGACCGTGTGTATATATACTCTCGAAATGCATAGGGTCGAGTATGGATCGGAGAAATTATTTAAAATAATAAAAAGAATGAATCCAAATAAGAACCCGTGCGAATTTTTTATATTCACGTGAGTAGTCGATTTGTTAAATCCGGAGCTTGAATGACATTCTAAAATCGAGAAGATAGATCTATAAAGGTGTACCTGTTATGATGAAAATGTATAATGATTTTAACAATTTGTTTGAAAAGAATGCTCTGACCATATTTATTTATATTTGCTTACCACACACAAGATACTTAGTAAGAACGCGACGGCAAACTCATTATCGAGTGACCGATAAAAAAAGTATGAGATATTTTCAAAGTCCATATTTTTCTCAATCAAAAATGTTTTTGAGAGAAATGGAAATACTCGAAAACTACATTTATATTTTTAAGCGTATTGTAAGTTAATGAGATAATTTTCTATCAGGAATAAACCACTGTATTGTTTGTTTGTGGTTTTTCGTGACAATCGCGTATTATGCCTATTTAGGGAATAAGTATTATAGCGTTGATTACTATATAATGATATTTGTATGATGTTGAAAACTGCATTATTTCTGGAAAGCATTAAAAATTGGTTATGCGTGTATTATCCGATGCAAAAAAATTTACGCATAAATTGTAAACTGCATAAACCATTTCATTATTGCTGTAGAATATGATTGAAAATCTGTAACAATTAACGCGCTTAACTTGACTATTTATACTCATGCGACTTCTTATTTTGAGTTAAGAGAAAGTACGTTCTATATGGAGCATTGGATAATGTACTCTCACTCCCCTAGCATAAATCACCGGACGTCGAAAGTGTTTACAAGAGATATATATATATATACTGTATTTTTGGTTTATTTTTCGTAATTAAATTACATAAATTTCTAAGGATATAAGCTAATTAATTAAGTATTTGATATCTTGTAGTATTGTCTTTGAAATTTAGTCTATTAATACCTAATGTCAAAATTTTGAATTTTTGTAATGGTAATTAAATAGCCCAGAGAAAGATTATTTTTTATATTATTTAAAAGATTGGTATCTGAAATTACATAAACATTGACATTGAAATTAATAATCATAACTTGAACTCGGAAAAAATTAAAAAATATGTGAGTAAACTATTGCAAAGTTATAAATTTTATTTTAAAATCTGAAAATGAAAACAAACCAATTCTATTAAAATAATAAGAATTTAATTCGAAAAAAAATAATTTAATTAAAGTAATCACCTTTAAAACTAATTAAAAATAAACAAAAAAAAATTGAAAATTGAAATAAGAATTTTGATAAAAACTATTTTTAAAAATATTAACAAAGAATAATGTACCAATTTTTCTACTTTTATTACATTATCATTATATATAATCAAAATATTTCAATATATTTTGAAATCTTTTGAAACATTATAAAAAAATCAACAAAATTTATTTATTATTATTATTTATATTTATTATATTTAAGAAATATTATATAACTTTTTAAAAAAATCAACAAAATTTATTTATTATTATTATTTTATTTTTAAATACCAATTAAATTTGCTTTTAATAATAATTTTAACTGTATATATTGTCACAGGTCAGAAGTCTATTACTTGTTACAGTATAATTCTTAATTGTATAAAGATTTCAATTATAATAAAGAGGTATAAGAAGTAAAAAAAAAGGTATAAATTTAAAATAATAATATATTAGTTAAGTTTTATTTAAGTCTTTTATTACTTTACATTTTTAACTTATATAATAATAATATCTATAGTGTTATTTAATACTTCCTAATAAATACTTTAAAAGTTTTTTGATTAATATAGATTATTAAATCTAAAGATCAAATTATCTAATAGGCATAACTCTAAAATTTTCCAATAAATATTTCAGAGGTCTTAATTGATATAGATTATCAAATCTAAAGATATAAAATACTAAGCAAAACACAATTCTTATTTAGTTGCAAGTTTTGTTTATATGATAATATTTATATTAATTTTTATTTTCAAAATTATTTAGCCTTAGTAAATATATTAAACAACAAAAAAAAATTTTCAGTAAACATATATTTAGTTAGTTAGATCAAAAGTTTTTTCTTATACGATCTTTTTTTTTAATTTGTTTCAATCTATAATTATTTATAACAATATATTATATTTATATATTATATAAAATTTAACATGTATAAATAAGTTTATATTTAAGTTATTAATTATATATTGGCTTGTTATTATTTACTTATTTAAAAATAAAAATATAAAATAATATATCAATACTTAATTAGTTTGTATTAAATTTTTTTTAATAAATAAAATTTTATTTGAAATTATTTATTAATTTATTAAAAATCAACTTTTTTTTTAAAGGAACAGACATTTATTACACATTATTTTTATTTATAATTTTAGACTTGCAAACTATAAGATTTATAACTCAATAGTGTAATATATATCTCTCTTTGTCAGGAAAAGTTAAATACCAGGCTCAAAAAATAATCCTTTCACCTAAGCTTCTTGGCATCACTCAAGAATATAAGAAAAAGAAATTCAAAACCTATATTATGCCTTAAATGGTATTTAGTTATCTAGAGAAATTTGAAATCTAATCATATAAAGACACTACAATTACTATATATAGATTGGTCTCCAAATTCTAACTAGAATTGGCATACTTGCTTTTCAAATGTGACTTAATATATGACAAATTGAATATGTTCTATCTTATACTTCACCTGAATAACTTGCTCAATTAGTTAAGTGGTTGCTACTCTGGCTAGGATATCTAATGGATATTAGTCTTTTATTTAATCATCTAATATTTGACCTTTTCTATTCTTTTAGGATTGCGACAAATTACAGATTACCCAAGCCTATGGCAATTGCTTACACCTGCGACAAGTAGGAAAGAGGATAGTTATTCTTTATAAG